AGGATAGAAGAAAAAATGGCACGATACGCCACCGCACAGGGTTACATACCATTTTCTTTGCATCTCTCTTTTTGCTTCTTCCGAATTTTTTATGATTTTGACATTTCATATCGTTTCTTTTTTTGTAATTTTTGATGCGTTTCTTTTATTGTGATGTGATGTTTTCAGTGATTGAATTGTATAGTGAATTATATGAAAATTAATTGGAAGTGTTAAAAAGTAAAAAAAGGAAGTTAAAATAAAAGTTAATAATGCAATATTTAACACCTCAATAACTTTTTCCATCATTTCTTCTTTAGATTCACACATTTAATTTTAAATCACTTCTTTATAAATATCTGTTACAAACAATTAGCTCTATACGAAATACTAAATAAAATAAAATGTCAGAAAAAATGCCAAGCACTATTATCGTAAAATGCCACCGTGTAAAGGCGCGAAGATTTACGCAGAAATTTTAAAAGAGAATTGATAAAAATGCCAGCTAAAAATTGCACCGTGTAAAGGCAGTGTAAGGTACTATGTATGTTATCATTTCGTAGTGCATTTGTCAGTGCCATCAAAGAAGAAGAAGACTCGCAAAAAGAATACTGCTACTACAATTTGCAAAATTAATATATCATTTTAGTTAGTCCCTTACATTTGCTCTAAAGTTGCGTCATTAGTGTGACATTTTCGCATATTGACATAATATGGAACAGTTTTTTTTTTATGGAAATAATGCAATGTAATTATTTAGAACAAGACGAAAACAGTTATATTTTGTTATGTATGTTATCATTTCGTAGTGTACTTATCAGTGCAATAAAAGAAGAAGACTCGAATCATAAATACTGCTACAAGAATTGCAAAAAAATAATCTATCCCTTTAATCTGCATTAATGTTGGAATCATTGGTTTGCCGCTTTCACATAATGTTTAATATTTTTTTATGAAAATAATGCAATTGTTTCATAAATTCGTTGCCGATATATGCATAATTTGCAATTTATATTTGTCTATTGTTAGTTTCTTAATTTTATTAATATATCGGAATTTTAACGCTGTATTGGAAAGGGGAAAAATCTCTAAGAAACTCTTGTATGCAATACTTGTTTTGAGAATAATAAATCTAATCTTTTAATTCAACATTTCTTTTTATATGTTTATAATAACTGCCGCCATTGCCATACTACAACAACCGGCAGCTGCTACTGTAATTTATTAGAAAAAAAAAAACAAATCTTTGTTAACACTTTTATCCAGTTCATCCTCTGTTATATATATTTACAAAAAACTCCCTCATACAAAGATGGGAAACGTGCCATACCAAAAACACTTTCTTGTGGTAAATATGCCGCCAACATTGTTATTACAATAGAACAAAACGTCTCTCTCGCTCTCGGTTGGTGGGATGTTGAAAAGAAATGTTGTGCGTGCCATCATGTTTTTGTTGTTGCCATTATATTTTTATTCTTTCTTGGTCCACCTTGGCTTGGTCACACTTTAATACGATTCAAGCAAGTCACACTGTTGTTGTTGTTACTTTAATTTTCTTTTTGTTTGCTACTTTATTTATTGGCCTCTAGAGATGACTTTCTTTGTGATGAATACTCACTCTACTCAATTTGGTGAACAACACCTTTCGTTTTGCAAATATTTTTGCTATTTCGATGTGTGTGTGTTTTTATGGTTTGCGTTATATGATTCTAAATTTCAACATTGTTGCTAGATCTTTAATTTCATTTCCCTTTACTTTTTTGCAGTTCTACTTTAAATATTTTTTTTCTAATTTTCTCTTACATTCCAATGCCAAAAAAAATTCTGAAGGTTGTAACCCAGTAAGAAATGAGGTACTCTTAACTTTAAGGTTTCAGTAAAATTCAATAAAAAAATTAATTATATTTTCTCATAAAATGGAAAATAAATAAAAAAGTGTAGTTGAAAGATGGGACTTTAATATCTGTTTAAATTATACTATTTACAAATTTAAAAAATGTATTTATTTTATTTTTTATGTCCTATTACCTATTTTAATGTTTCATTACAACGACAATTTACGTTACTACTCCTCGACTAACTGTAGCAAATTTCACAAGAAATAACTTAACTTAGCAACACTGTTACGCCTTATCCTTCTATGCCGCTATCCCTTATTCAGGAATATTCTGTTTATAGTAAAAATCGAGTTTTGACTGTATCAATAAATAAATTTAATACCGTAGAAGAAAATTAGGGGTTTCATCATAAATAGAATTATCACATCTGACATCCCTATTTTGTATCAGCTGTTAGTAGTTTACTTCATCCCTGATATCAATTCACTTGAAGTGTAACTTTTCTTACTTTTCTTTACAGCCATTTTAGATTTAATTTTTAAGGTGTTTTATTTAATTTTTTTGATTATATGTGTATATATAAATCAAATATTTTCTAGTGCAAGTTGGGTATTAAACTACTTGCAAATTGATTGTATTTATATGGGGCTATCAATTCAATTGAGTGTCACTTTCATCTTTAGAAGGGCAAAAGTAAGAAGAAGCAAACATATGTTGTGAATTGTTTGTTTTTGATCAGTTTAATGATCGTGGAAAGGGATCACCCATCCATCCCCTGTAAGTTTCCTTAGAACTATTCAATAAAATTGTTTGATTCATCGAATAAACTTTTAATATTTACTAAAAAAATCACTAGAATTACTACTCTAAGGATTGCAACAGCAGCTAGATAGTAAAAAATAAACCTGGTGCCCGATGGGAGACTTACTTTTGCTGGTTAGTTACTCTGTAAAACTAAGGAAATATATCCTTATTCTAAAGACAAAAGTAATATGCATTAATAAAACTTATTTATCAGATGAAAAATGCGTAAATAAATCCCCAATGAGTTGGAAACACAGGGGAGTGTGTTATATGACAATAAACTATTAAATGGAAACAAACTGTAGGAAGCTTGCATTGTTTTGGGTATTTACAAAGTAATGACCAAGGACATCTGCCCTTTTCGATCGACAACAACTAAAGCGACAATTTTGCCTTAAAATTATGTACACATTTGTAACCTCCATCAAAATACCAGCTGGAGTTTGTTCTCCTCCTAAATAGAATGGACAAACACACAAGATAAATGTTATTAATTTAAGCCAAAAAAGAAAAGAAAAATTATGGCTATGTCCACCAAGTTTGTTCACCTTGTGGCAATTAACCAAAGAAATGAAATTCAAGAGCAACAACAATCAAACCTTGACAATACCTTGAATGTCATCCTTCTTTGCACCTTTGGCATCTCTTAATGATTAGCAAACGAAAACCACCACCACCATCGTCATTATTGCAATGGGTACTTAAAACATTTCAACAATGTTCCTTTGAATGTCATCCTACACTCACTGTATTCTTCTTTGATAAACTGCACACGGAAGCAAAAGAAAATCGTTGTAACGTTATTTTGTTGGTTGGTGTGCCGTGAAATGTAGTAGGAGAACGGATGCTTAGAATAGTGACAAAAAAGGACCTTTCACGCTTTCTGCTTGTTGTTGTTGAAAATGTGCACCATGCTTTTGTGTGTGTGTGTGTGTGAGGTTGTCAGCAGAGATTTGCCACAATGGTTGGCTGTTTGTCTATTTTGGTTCTTTTCCTTCATGGTGGCAGTGTTGGTGTTTTGAAATTTTATAACACCTTGATGTGTTTTTGTTTTCACTGCTTTGTAATTGTAAAATTTACCTTGATTCTTTATTGTTAGTATTGTCTACATGTGTGTGCGTGTCCTTCCTCAAATCGTTACAATCTGCTCCTTGACAATATATGTGGCTGTCCAAATTTTCCTCGTCATGGATTTTATTGTAAATCCATGGCTGCTGCTGCTGGCGTTCAATTCATTCTTCACATTACATCTGCTTTTTCCTTGGCCATTGTTTGGAAAAGTGGCACGACCTCCATGTCTATTAAGATTTCTTTGTTTTACCATTTGAAGAAATCCCTAAAAAGATTCTGGAAAATATTTTCATGAAAGGGCAACTGTTGCAGTTCTCCGTCGCTTCCTGTTTGGCTTCGTCAATTTGGGAATGCTGAGTTTTGAAAAGATATTGATTTTAGTTTACCAAAGACTAGCATAGCATCAAGACGTCAACTCAAGAGAAATTTAACGAAACAAAATAAAATTAACTCAAACTTCTTTGCTCTCACAGTTGTCTGCCATTTCGTTAACTTGTAACTTTTGTACAACAAAACCATCATCTTGTAATAATAACTGTTAATTTTTTTGCCAAGCAAAATAGAAGCCCTGTTGTTGATCTCTTACAAATTTGCTTAACAACACCCACGTTCATCATTGTTAACTAAACTCGCCACTAGACCGCACTGAGTGTTTGTGTTTCGTTTTTATAAAATTGATATATTCCAGTTTTTTTTTGTTTGTTTGTTAAGTTTTTGTTTAATTTGTTTTGTGTCGAATGTTTGCGTAATTGTTTGTAATTGTTTTTAAACATTTGCCAACAATTAAAGTGCTTTTAAACAAAGTTTTTGCACCTTGTTCGGCGGCCTTCTTTTAAATTTGGTGTGTTCGATTATTTTCCTCAAACTGGATAATAATTCGCTTTTATTGAAATTATTAAGTTTAATGTCTTCACCACCGCCCGCTTCGTCATTTTCCTCGTCGTCGTCGTCATCATCGTCGCCCTCATCATCGTCGCTATCGGATTATTCTCCCACAACTTCTAGTCCTGAATTAAATTCACATTCTTCGACCTCAGCTGGGGTGTCTGGTGGTTCATCATCGGCAATTAAAGTCGAATTTGATCGCAACATCATGGATTTGGTATATCAGCCGAGGTGAGATGTTCAAAAGAGGGCCTTAAATTGTTCGTTTGTGCAAAAATAGTGCAAAAAAAAACTAAAACCTATAACCACTGTTCTTAGTTATTATGGATCTTGAGGAACTTTTATCAAATTTTATTAGATTTATATATTTTGCTTATTTTTTAAATTTTTTCTAATTCCATTTTATTTTTTATTTAATTCCAGATTGCCGGTGAACGAATGTCAGGCAAGTCAAACTGCTAGAGTGACATCGAACCTAAACGCATCCAGTAGTACAATGGCGGTCAGTCGTGTACCCTCACCGCCCTTACCGGAAGTTAATACCCCGGTTGCAGAAAACTGGTGTTACACACAGGTAAACTCAATTCTGCTTTACGAAAAGAAAATCTCAAATTACTAAGATATTTGAAACTGGGATTTTGTCTAAATCTAATCCCTGAATTGAAATTCGAGATTATCTGTTTTGCCCTTAAATTTCATTCCATTGTTCCTAATCCATTTCTTTGTTTTGTTTGCTTGCAGGTGAAAGTGGTTAAATTTAGCTATATGTGGACCATAAATAATTTTAGTTTTTGTCGCGAGGAAATGGGTGAAGTCTTAAAGTCCTCCACATTTTCCGCCGGTGCTAATGATAAACTGAAATGGTAATTATCATTACTTTTTTTCTTTTTTAATCTCCCACAAAGAAGATTACGATTTTAATCTCACATTTTCTTTTGGTTTCATCTTTCAGGTGTTTACGTGTCAATCCAAAAGGTCTAGATGAAGAAAGTAAAGATTATTTATCCCTATATTTATTATTAGTTTCCTGCAATAAATCAGAAGTTAGAGCCAAATTTAAATTTTCCATATTAAATGCTAAAAGAGAAGAAACCAAAGCCATGGAATCACAGAGGTATGTATTGTGGAATTGTAAAACTGAGCTATATAATTGTAATAACCATATAGTCTATTTTTTTAAAGATTTTATGGGAATACACAGAGAAAATAGTTTGGGATTTAAAAATCTTTTAGGAGACACCAAAGTAGTCGTGGACTAAATGCCATAATTGAAAGATTTTACCGCGATTCAAAAAGAAAACAGTTTGGACAGTTATAGATCCTTTACGAAACGCAGGAATAGTCGGGGACTTTTTAAGAAAGGCTGAAGGTATAAAACTCTTGGTTTTTTCCCAAAAGGGAGCAAGACTCTTAAAAGGTTTCATTGGGATCCAAAGAGAAAATAGTTTGGACATTTAAAGATTTTTAGGAGACACCAAACTAGTTGTGGGTTTTATACCATTCTTTAAAGATTTTACCGGGATTCAAAGAGAAAGCAGTCTGGACAGTTTTAGATCCTTTAGGAAACGTCAAAGTGGTCTTGGACTTTTTATGAAAAGCTGAGAATATAAATCATTTGGTTTTCTTTAGAACTTTTTTGGAGAAGCAAAAGGGACCAAGTTTCCGAAATATGTTTTAATCCCAAAAATATGTTTACGGAACCAAAGGGAAGCAGGGCTCTTAAATATGTTTCAATTTTAGAGATCCCATAAATGTAAAATTTATTTTCAAAGTATCCTAGTGGGAGTTGTCATGAATTCACTTCAAATGATTAGAAGTCCCCAAAGAATAATAATCTTGAATTTGTTTAAATTTCCTATTGATACCCTTAACTAATAAGAAGATGTATAAATTTTAAATGATATTGGAAAAATAGTAGATTTTAAAATTTATTAAAGAGAGAGAAAGTCCAAACCTCGCCAAAGAACATCGACGACAATTCTTTTCAACTTTCCAAATAATTTTAGGGATAATTTAAGGACAATCATCTTGAATTTTTAGGCCTGTTAAAGGTAGTAAGGTCCTATATAGGGCAAGAGTTGCAGAGTTAAATTTTTACAATGAGGACTTAAGGGACTTAAGACTTATGATCCCTGTTCTAAGAGGTCCAAATAGGGCAAAAATTGTAAATATGAAATTTTTCAACTAGGGTTTGAGGGACTAGTATTTTGTTTATCTATTTATATTTTTATTTAACTTTAATTTAATTGTTACACTTTATTAATTCAATTTTTTATTTCACTCTTTTATTGCAGAGCATACCGTTTTGTACAAGGCAAAGATTGGGGTTTCAAAAAATTCATACGACGAGATTTCCTATTGGATGAGGCCAATGGCCTATTGCCTGAAGATAAATTGACAATATTCTGTGAAGTTAGTGTAGTGGCCGACAGTGTTAATATTTCCGGCCAATCAAATATTGTACAATTCAAAGTGCCCGAATGTAAGCTAAGTGAAGATTTGGGTAATCTCTTTGACAATGAGAAATTCAGTGATGTAACGTTAGCCGTGGGTGGCCGTGAATTCCAAGCACATAAAGCAATATTGGCAGGTAATTATTGAAAATCACAATATCTATTTTTTTAAATTAAATATTAATTTTTCTTTTTTCTCTTCCTGATTCTACAGCACGCAGTGATGTCTTTGCTGCCATGTTTGAGCATGAAATGGAGGAGCGTAAATTGAATCGTGTCGCCATAACTGATGTTGATCATGAAGTTTTAAAAGAAATGTTACGTTTTATTTATACTGGCAAGGCGCCAAACTTAGATAAAATGGCCGATGATCTCTTAGCAGCAGCTGATAAGGTTTGTCTCATACACACATACATTCTTATGTTATTTTCTTCATTGTACTAATTGTTATTGTTTTTTTTTTCTTTTTTGGTTTGCAGTACGCTTTGGAAAAGCTGAAAGTGATGTGTGAGGAAGCGCTGTGCGTTAATCTCTCCGTTGAAACAGCCGCTGAAACATTAATATTAGCCGATCTCCATAGTGCGGATCAATTAAAAGCACAAACAATAGATTTTATTAATACGTAAGTATCTACGTCTTTTTTTTGTTTCAAATATTTGTGTTGTGGACATTTATAAATGTTTGCACTAATTTGTGAATGTTGTTTTTTATGTTCAACATCTGTTGGGAAGACATTTATCGCTTGCCATATATGTCATCTCATAATTAATGTTTTGCTATGACATTTTCATGATGACAGCGGGAAAGCAGTTTAAAATATATTTTAACAAATTATATTTCCTTATGTTAGAAGCAAATTTTTCAGAGATGATGAACCTTATCGAACCAAACTCGATTCGAAAATATGAAATGAAAGAAGTACTGATTTAGGGAAAATTCCAAATCCATTTTTTACGCCTTTTGGGTAGAAATATTAGGGCTTAAACTGGCAATTTTAAAAATAAGTTTTATTGGAATATCAGAGTTCAAAATTTTAAGTACATATTTGGCGCATTGGAGGAGGGATTTCCATAGGGTTTCAAAAACAATGTCTTGAGGAAATATTCGGTCCCAAAAAAAATTAATTTAAAATTCATTTCTAAGGGAAATATCCATGAACTTTAAGAACATATTTTCAAATAAATATAGCTAAACGTTGATTTTTTTACTTCAAAATTATATATTACGGAAAAAAATCGAGGCATAAAACTTAGACTAGCAAAAAGTAGTAGTAAATCAGATTTTTTTAAATTTTCTGTTTTCGTTTTTCTGAACCGGGTTTTTAATTTATTTTTCCTGCTTTTTCTAATTTTTAGTCATGCCACCGATGTTATGGAAACCCAGGGATGGCAAAACATGATCACAACACATTCACATCTAATTGCCGAGGCATTTCGTGCGCTTGCAACACAACAAATCCCACCGATTGGACCACCCAGGAAACGTGTAAAAATGAGCTGAAATTTCAATAGTAGTAGAAGACAACAACAAAGGCAGCATCAGCAACAACAACAGCAACAATTGCAATTGCAACAAAAACAACACATTATAGATAATCAAGAAAAACAACAACAAGATAAATATAATAATAATAATAGAGATAATAATGAAAACTATAATTATTACATCAACAACAACAACTACTATAATTACAACAACAAAAACAGCAGCAACAACAAAAACAACTATTATTATAATTATTTCTATTATTATAACATAAAATGCAAAACAACAACAAATTTGAAACAACCAACAACAACAACAAAAACAACCTTACATTGTACGATTATGATAATAAAATATTTTTTTAAAAATTTCATCAACTATAACAAAATGAAAATTAAAATAAATTTAGCTGATATTTTCAATAGTACTACGACTACTACTACCAAATCCCTTATTAGCAACAACAACAACCACAATAGTAATAACAAAAACAATAGCAAACATTTGCCATTTGGTATTCCAACAAATGTCTTCAATTCAAGCAACATCACCACCAACACAACTCATAACTATTATAACTACTACTACAACAAGAACAAGAACAACAAAAACAGCTGTTTTATAGGTCTACAACATTTACTCCTAAACTATTTGCAATTCCTGAAATTACAACTTGTTCAGCAGTATTTATTCTTCTGTGAATTTTTGTGACTATTTATTTTAAGGTCTATATAAAAGAAACAAGAAAAACAAAACACAAAACACATTATTGTATTATTATAATTAAATTACTAAATTAGAAATTTATCAATGTCGTCGTCTTGATGTTTAATATTCTATTAAAAAAAAAAACAAAAAGAATACAAACAAACAAACGAAAACCAAATGCTGAACAAGTTGTAGTTTTGAGAGAAAAGCTGGAAAATAATTCCCCAACAAAACCGAAAAGAAGATCATAGTATGCAAATTAAGAAAAAGCAAAAATCCCCAAACAATATTTGATGTAGTAGATCATTGCAAGAACCAAGCAAAACAAAAATAAATTTCAAATCAATGCAAAAAATTCCTCAACTCAAATGTAGAAAAATCGGTTTGTAAGAATACAAATTTTGTTTTAATTTTCTAGAAGACAATGCATACCTATTGTAGACATGAAAACGAACTATATTCTCTATATCCATCTCCCCACCACCACCTAAATATCTATTACCTAATTTTTGTAAATCCAAAATCCTTTGTAAATGTACATTTTTTTCTTAATCGTTGTTGCTTATCTTGGTAGACATTATTTGGTTGAAAACAAATATTTGTTTGCTTCCTTCTTTTTTATGATTTTAATTGGCCTATCTTTTTTGTGTGTTTGAATACAATTTGGTCCAATCACCGTACATGCTACATACATACTGATTCCTTTACGGTTTAGTTTTTTTTATAAATTCAATTGTTTACAATTTATGGTATAAGTTATTTTTTATTTTTGAGATTATCCTACAACTCAACATCACCCGCTTTCTCTCTCTCTCCAGCCTTCGCATACATTATCGGTACATTTCGGACTCGTCAGACGGCCTAGGTCATCGCTGTGTAGATGTAAATTGAAATTGTATACAGGCTTTGGATGAGTCGCACCTACATTGTCAGTGGTCTCAGTTGGAAGATGTATGTGCAAAAAAATCCGCTGAGAAGAACAATTTTAGCTTGGTATATTTTTTTCCCCATTCCAATGTGTTTGCTATTTGATCTTTGTTAATATTTTGCTAAAAAAAATAAATATTGATGTTAGGAATTGTCTGGAATTGCTTGAAAATAATTAAAAAAAATGGTTTTAAAAGATTAAATACCCGGGAATTTTCAGCTATTTTGTGACAAAAATATTTTTAAGGGAAAAGTTTGTAAACAATTAAATATTCCAGAATTTGTCATGAGTTTTGCCAGAAGAATATTCTAAAGGGAAAAAGGGCCTTAAATCAGGGTCATTAAAACTGGAACCAAACTAATATAATTGTGTTTGGAAAAAGTAGAATGTATAAGAGATCATTTATTATTTAAAGTGATTGCCCATTGCAATATGATGACGTTTGTTGACCGTTGTTTATGCCTGTTATGTGCATTCGGTTGTATGTGCCACCAAGAAATTGGAATACCAGACATCGATCTCAAGTCAATATATAATCGTAGAATCTATTAGACATCATTTATCATTGTAATATGAAGCTAACCCATAAATGGTACAACTAGGCTCCCATCTCTAAGAAATTGGAATACAAGAAATCGATCTCAAGTCAATATATAATCGCAGAATGTATTAGGGATCATTCATAATTCAAAGTGATTGTTCAATCCGAAATGAAGCCTTAAGTTTGATATGTTCTTTCGGGTCGTATATGTCACTAACGTTTCGTATATGTCACCAACATTAACCATTTGATCGACCCTATAAAGCTAACCAAGCTAACCATAAATGGTACAACAACTAGGCTTTCAACTCTAAAAAATTGGAATACAAGACATCGATCTCAAGTCAATATATAATCTAAACTGATAATTCCAGAAAAAAATTAGGGTAATATATCGAATATAGGAGATAAAGATGTGTTAGACATGGATTGAGTAAATTTCTATTGGTTTCGAGCATGTCTTAGTTTGTGGGGAGAGTATTAAGGGAAAAGTGGGAAAAATGATCGTTCTGGAGATTTTGTTTTTTCTATACAAAAATATAAGTATTAGGTCCGTCTAGTTACTAATTCTGCAGAAAATTACCAGCTGTTAATTTCTGCCAGGGTAAGGAGATTTCTTCTCTTTTGCAAGAAAACTGTGAAAAATAAACACACGGGGTATCCCAGCATAAACTTGCAAGCATTTATCAAGACGATAGAATTTGCCAGCCATAGGAAGAAATGTTCCAGAACATCAAGAATATAAACTTTTTTCTACGATAACCGAAATTGGAATTGGAAAACTGGAACAGGCCAACTGTAAACTCGCCTAGTACAAATCAGAACTCAGAAATCGAAATCCATAAAAATAGGACAGCAATCCTAACACTATAGGTTTATTTGAAATAATATCAGACAGATAGATGGTTTTGGTGGTTAGCATTAACATATCTTGGAGATGGGTTGTTATTACTAGCTTTTGGTTAGACTATTGGTCTATTCCAGAACTGCAAGAAAAAACTTTTCACTGCGATAATCGCTTTTCCCTTTATGATATCGAAACAAATTGCAAAAATAGTAGATTCTTGTAGGTTCTGGAACACAGCATATTTCTTCTACTTTGGAAGTTCAGAACAAAATTTGGGGTGAGATCATATCTTTAAGTACCACATAATAAATTTTGAGACAAGAATTTGAAAGATGGCTATTGGAACTCATTAGCAAATATAGAGGTTAGGTAAATTTTTCGCTTGAGCTGAGTTGGGAAGTCCTCATTTAAACTTATTTTCAAAAAAGTTTTCATTGGAACCGTATCACTAGTATCCTTGGGGGCTAATTAGCAAATATAGAGGTTAGATAAATTCTTCTCTAGAGCTGGGGTGGGAAGTCATCATTTAAACTTATTTTCAAAAAGTTTCCTTTGGAACCTTGTTATCAGCATACAGACAGAGTCCTGTGTCCATCGTAATGTGTGTTGGACATATTTTTACCCTAAATCTGATTCGAAATTTACGCCCTTTCAATACTCAAATTTGTATTTCCCTGCATTCCTAAACGTTGCTTTAGATGGTGGCAGTGTTTTAAATCAATAATCTTTTTCGCTTTGGCTAAAATTGAGATTTTGTCTCTATTACAATATTGAGGTTAGGTTTTTCGCTGCTATGTTTAAAAAATTTCAATATATTATGCTGTCCTGAGAAACCAAAAGGAGAATGGGAAAAAATACAAAAAAGGAAGAAAATTAAAGGAAAAAATGTTTGCCTCTGTGGCAATAGAAATCTTGTAAAGTATCAAAAGGGCATCTCCCTTCATTTTATAAACTCGTCTAATAGCTTTATTGGGGAACTAATCTTCAAAGCCCCACGAAAAAAGCTTCTAAGCTGGCAACGTAGTATGTGGCATTTGTTCCTATTGTTCTATATGGAATGAATTTAACAATGAGTTGCGTAAGAGGTATGAGGGTCAAAAATGAGTTTTTTTTTACAGGAGAGGGTTTGTAAAATAGGAATCCAAATCAATTTCCACATCTGTCACTCATACTTAGATCAATTTGATGAAGATTATTAAAAACTGCAATTGGATGAGACTAATGCCAAGAAACTAGATAGGTTTGAAAATTGGAATGTGGTAGAATATATTTCACAAATACACACAAATTTCTCACGGTCTCAAAGTCTATAAAGCTTCTTGATAACACTGAGAGAGCAGGATGTTGATGTTTTAGGTTATATCAAATGGTTTAAAATGTGTATTATCAAATGTTGTTGTTCAAATACTTCTATTAAGGTTTCAAAACATAAGAAAAACACAACAACAAATTTTGTTTTTAACATTTCTTTCTTTATTTTTATTAAAGATTTCTCAATTTTGTTCACTCAACTTTTTTTTTGATAAATTTCTTCTGTATAAAGCAAGACATGAGTGGAGCAGGAGCTATATTGAGCATAATAATTATTAATGTAATGTGTTTTTTTTTTATTTTTTTATATAAATATATTTTAATTTTTAATTGTTAATTTAAAACAAAAAAAGTTATTGGTTTAACCAAAATGTAATTTTTAATACTAAATGTAATGATAATTTAGAAGTTTTTTTATTATTTTTTATTATAAAGATGATGATTATGATTAATTATAACTTTTTATTTTTATCAACATAATTATATAACAAAAAAGAAACAAAACAAAACATAAGAAAACATGAAAACAACAAACACCAACCCGCCAATTAAGCGTTAAATCAAAACAAAAAAATAATAATACTATGTTTTATTTTCCTGCAAACAACTTTTTGTCTATACATATAGGAATATTTTATAATAATTATTAATTAATTTCTTAATTATTTCCATTGAAATTGTTTCTATTAATTAAGTTTTACCCATCTTTCTTATGATTAAATAAAAATGAAAATTATTTCCCTTGAAAAAAATCACAGCAAAAAATCAATAAAAATAGCTCTTTTTATTTAAACAAATTTTATTTCTCTTGTTCTATTTTCCCTTACCCTTTCTTGCTATATTTTCTCTTATAGATTTAAAAATAAATTTCGGTTTAAATGTTATTTTTAAGTTATACATTTATTGTAAAATCGTTTATTATTATTTTTTCTTGTGTAAAGTTTAATTATTTTTTTATTATTATTTGTTTTTCGTTTTAAGCCAACATCTCTTCTTTAAGCAAAAAAGGAAAAAAAAAAGAAATCAACAAACAAATAAACCATTTTTTATTATTAGCTACTTTTATTATTATTAGTAAGACAAACAACAACAACAAAAAATGGAACAACAATCAACCAACCAACCATAAACCAACAACAACACAAAAAACAACAAACAGAAGAAACACAAGAGAAAAATTGATTTTTAAAGAAATATATTGAAAGAGAAAAACACTTTTGTGAAATTAAAGAAAAAACTTAAAAACAAAGAAAAATATGATTTTTTTATTTCGAAGAGGGAAAGGAGTTTAAAATAAAATTAAAAATGATTTGATGTCTTTTAAAATTTTGGAAACTTAATGATATGAAATTTAAGAATAAAAGTCCATGTGAGAAATTAACACATATTTCCTTCCAACAACTTCGTGCAGCCTAATATTTAATGCCGAGATCTATCTGATACCTCCTGTGATGAGAGTGGGTTATGTTCCCTGTACACATGAAAAATTTTAGCTGTGTCCGCTGTGATTTTATTACGGCCTTTTTGGGCGAGAATGAGAACGGTCTTAACTGATAGTTTTTGTAATTAAGAGTTTCTTTATAACCTCAGCCATATGGCTAGAGAGGGTATATGTCATTTGATACGGACAAAACATGCCTCATCGAAATAATGGTTTTAGATCCTACGTATCTTTGGGCCAAATCCGTTAAAGGAAATTTGCAGTCGATCTAGCAATGTCCGTCCGTCCTTCTGTCTGCTTCGTGCGCACGGTAACTCTCGAAGGTAGTATCCGATTTGATCCAAACTTCGTACATCGTATTATTATTGTCAAATTTAGATTGAGTTCGAAGATGGGCAATATCGGTCCACTCCTTCTGGTACCTCCCTCACAAAATGTCAACATTTTAAAAGAAAATAATTTACTGCACAGAAAGAGAAAGGATAATCCGATTTTGCTCCAACTTTGCAAATCATAATATTTGCTTCAGTTCTATGTCAGGTGTGAAAATGGACAATATCGGCGAACTCCATCAAGTACCTTTCCTACAGAGGTGCCAAAATTTTGAATAGTTTTAACTTTTATAAAATGTGATGTAAGTGTCCGATTGTCTTCAAATTACACACATCATAATATTTTTATTAATCCAAGGTCTGGAGTGAAAATGGAATATATCGGTCCACTCCTTTTGCTACCTCCCACACAAAGGGTCAAAATTTTGAATATTCATGAAGCGAATTAAACTCGAAATTAACATCCGATTCCATTCAGGCTTGGCACATCTAAGTATTTCAATATACACATCCGATTCCATTCAGACGTGGCGCATCTCAATATTTTCATCAACATAAGATCTGTTATAAAGATGCTGGAGATCGGACCAATTCTTCTGATACCTCCCCCGCAAAGGGTCAAAGTTTTGAATAACCAAAATTATTATAAAATCCGACATAAGCATCTAGTTCTCTTCAAATTAATATTTTTATTAACCTAAGGTCAGGTGTAAAAATGGGATATATTGGTTCATCCCTTCTGGTACCTCCCCCACTAAGGGTCAAAATTTTAAGTGTCCATGAAGCTCACAAAATGGGCAATTAACATCCGATTCCATTCAGACTTGGTACTTTTTAATATTTCAAATAACCTACCTCACGCATATTTGCACAAATTTCATATGAAGAATAGGAAGTAGTCGATATAGCCCTCAGATACGATTCTACTAATGTAAAAGGTTTTCTCAGTTTGTAGAATAAAGTCCTCGAATTCAAAATTGCATTACCAAAAATATCTGATATATTTTGTTTTTATTTTGCTTTTCGATTTTCAGAAATAATTGATTCGCTCAAATTGTTGCTTAGGAGAGACAGTCAAGCTTGAGACACCCCTATCATGTACCAATACTTGAAGAAAAAACACATATTTTCTTTATACAAAAGCAGCAAATATTTTTTTATTCATTAGATTCATTAACAATTTTCAAAAATAAAATTAGGAAAATTTATACGAAACACTTTTTTCTAGTGAAATCATATATTCGAAAGGCAAAATTTCGAAAAAGTAAAAAACTTAGAAAATATTTGTTTTGACTTTTATTAGATTTGCGGGACAGCTTCATGTTTTTGTACTCATGTTTAAATATTCAAAATACCACTAAATAATATTGTTATTATTAAATTTATACACAGTCTGTTCCAGAACTGCAAGAATGTAAATGTTTTTACTAGGATAACCGATTTTCCCTTTATGAAAACGGAAAAAATGCAAAAAATAGTAGATTCTTGCAGATTCTGGAACAGATCAACAATTTGAAAAAATATGCAGTAGTTTAAAAAATTTAAATAATTTGAGCTGTTCTGTTTAAAATCCAATTTGGACTTAGGAAAGTACAATGATAAATATAATATGGAAAAATATAATAAATAAATATAACATGTAAATAATGTAACGAAAACTATGATCCTTAGGGGTAGTTCCTTTAAAACGATATAAAAACTTTATCTTGTTTCTTTTATATTTTCTAACCAAAAATAAAGGCAATATTTTTGTGTAAATTTGTTTTGAAATCGTTTTAGAGAAACATACGCAGATAATGAAATGCTATTTCTTTTCTTGTTCATCCAAAAACTGTTGCAGCAATTGTGCATCAATGGGTATTGTAAGCTGTTCCGAACCATCTACACTACGTTTGGACTTGACCAATTTGTGGTCTAAAAATTCAGTTAGCTGTGCTCTCAATGCCAAATCTGAACTGACCAAAAACGCCTCACGACAACTCCAATATAGATCCTTAAAGGGCATTCCTAAAAAAAAGAATCGAAATATAAATGTTTACGCAACCAAAAAGGAAAATATATTTTACCTTGATAATTAGGATTTCCCTTATTTTTAAGCTGATGTTTTACAATAATCATATAAATGCCACGACTGTTGGTGGTAAGTGATAGGAATACACTACGCATTGAGGACAATGCCAACTCTCCGGAGTTCTGTACCAACAAGGAGTTTTCAAAGGATGTTTCATCGGTGTATGGCAACATTGTGGTACAATCCCACCAGGAGAAATTATAATTGCTTAACTTCGTTTGATCCCATACTAGGAATAGAAAATAGATTATTGACATTTTCATAAAATATGCCTGCATCCCGAATTAAGTATACTTACATAACGGAGTGTTAATATGATCCACCGACGCCAGCATATGAATATTTGGAACCTTAGCCAACCGTGACAAAATCTCTTGAGATCTTGCATTTCGCAACATAGAACCATCCAAGTTATGTACAATTAAATACAAATGTGTCTGAGGAATCAATGCAAATTCCTCTTCAATCATATCGGCAGCTTCATGCGGATTAGCCGGGCTAATACCGGCATCCAAAATATCATTAGTTATACTATCAAGTATATCCTTTAGTGTTAAGCTGGGAAAGAATCCGTTAACAACCAATACAGGTTGTTTCGATAACACCTCTCTATGAAAAGCCTGCAACAGTTGACGTTTTGAACCAAGGCCATATAGCATTATGTTGTAACCTTCATTGAGAATATACAACCATTTGGGAAAATAAGACTTATATTCTTCCATTATGGCATTTATCGAGGTTTCATGTTCTGCGGAAACTTTCATTTCAGCCAATAAAGAAAATAAGCGGTCTGCCGGCAGTCGAGGAGTCTTCAGGCGATCCAATGTGTGATCAGATGTTAGAATTTTTCCGCTGGAATGTGATTGAAAGTAACCATCACTTTCCGGTACATAATCGGCGGATTTCTTAACTCTCGCCGATTGCCTTAAACGGGCAGCAGAGGGTGTTTTTGGTAAAATGGGTACCACAATAGAACGGCGACTCTTGCAAGGTGTTTTGGGCTCATCATCGGCTTCATTATCGGGACCTGAAGATTCATTATCACTTGATGAACTTTCACTACCAGAGGGTTGGAAATCACTTTCATCGCCTGAAAAGTCGGAACCCGATTCGTCCTGAACCATTTTAGCAATCTCTGTAAAAAATCAATTATCTTTTAATTCCATATCTTCAAGATTTTCCGATAAAACTTACGATTTTTAACTTTACTCCTTACCCGCGATGGAGTTTTAGGTTCCAGAGTAGACTTCCTTGACTTTTTGGCATCTGGTGTCTTACCCAGTCTGCCAGGTGTCTTGGGCGTCTTAGGCGTTGCCAGCCCTTTTGGCGTATTCATAGCAGCCAATGCCATCGCACCCTTCTTTTTGGGAGTATTAAAACCAAACATTGCCTTTCCCTCGACATCGCCCTCATCAAGCAATAACTGAAGATCACCTGGTTTAGTCTTAGCTACTGCTACCAAATCAGAATTCTCGTCCTCCTCGTCATCTTCATCCTCGTCGGTTATTTCATCATTTTTATTACGACGTTTTCTTTCCACTTCTTTGCGTTTACCCCCACTGCCGGGTATTTGATCAACAACATAGTCACCACTTAGAAATTTCTTTGTGGGACTTGGCACCCTTCCGGAGCGACGTACATGTGTAACGTCATGAACATTCTCCTCGCTAGAATTTTCCACAACAACATCAATAATACTTTCAGCACCTTCCGTGCCGGACGAGGATACGGTTTCATCAGTTGTGCCACTGTTGTGATGCATTATGTTCTCCACTGCTTTTAAACTCTTCGAAGATGGTGTCTTTGTTGTCTTTCCCGTAGCCGGCTTCTGTGGTGTCCGATGATCATTTTCACTGTTAGCTATTATTTTTGTTGGCGTGGACATAACAACACTTCAATCTTCTAATGCAAAATATTAAATGTGCGAAATGCTACCAGAAAGGACACTGCTCCCAACGCGCGCTTTCAAAAGTTTGGTAACACCGAAATTAAAAACGCTCCAAAGATACTATTTAAAAAGAAAGAAAAACAAATTGATAAAAAATAAACAAAAGGCAAAAGGACCGAGTTTACGAATTAAGAGAAAATAACATAGAGACGATGATCATGAAAGAGATGGATGGTAGTTACGAGTGAGAGAGAAATGGAGCCGCGAAATATTGATAGTATCGATAATTTATTTTTGAAGGTATTATCGATTGAGAGTTTTTTCATCGACATTATCGGACAAAATACCAATGATGGGAGTGTGAATTTTTTAAAATTTTTTTCTGAAGACATCAACTCGAGTTTTTTAAAAGCGTGAATCTAGGGATCACTTAAGGTGTAAGTACATAAGAAGCTTGAAGTACTTTGTGACAATTCGTAAAGGGATTTTAATATGCTAACCGACTTTATCTATTTGATATCGAAAAAAATTGCAAAACTAGTGGATACTTGCTAGTTCTGAAACAGAACTAGTATTATTAATTGAAATGATTGCTCTGTTCCAGAATTTTAACCGATTTTCCCCTAACTTAACCGATCTTTTCACTACGAAAACGATTTGTTCTTTATAATGTCGAAAAAAATTGCCAAATTAGTAGATCCTTGCAGGTTCTGGAATAGAGCAGAGAAGGCCAGAGAAGACAGGTCTGCAACAGGAATTATTATTTATTACGAGTTTCAAATCTCAAAATTGAAAAATACCGTAGAAAAATATGGATAACATTAAACAATGAATATCGGGAGGAAGCATTATTATATGGTTGCTATAGGAAGACGAGGACTTATATTGACAATTATCTGCTACATTAGTTTAATATCCATCGCAAAAATCAAATATCAAATTGGAAAAACTTCCATTCAAATATGCGGTCACTAAATACCTGGAAGTACCGTTATATTGAGCCTTCAGATAATGTTTATCCATATAGAAAATTGCTTTGTTCACAACCTGCAAGAATCTGTTATTTTTGTCACTTTTTCAATATCATAAAGGTAAAATCGGGTAGCACAAAATGTACATTCTTGCAGCTCTTAAACAGACCATATCATAGCACAATAAGGAGGTAGAACAGCTTCGTAAAATTAATGAATGAATGAAATGCCTGGATCAATAGATCGATAGGTAGACGCATCTACACACAATTTTTAAATTGAAAATGTTGAATGGAAAATTGTTTAAATTTGTAAAAATTTTGAAAAACCTGTATTATTATAACCTCCGAATGACGTCGTATAAGAAAAAATATAAAAATCTATTTATATTTGAAAAACATTTTTTTTTGACATATCAATGTTCCCAAGCGTTGATGCATCTACCTGTATTCTTCTACCATGGCCTGGATGTTCTCTCAAATATATGATATGAAGTGATCAATCTTTCAATTCCATGGCGAATCTTGGCAATATTATTAATGCGCGCCCCGCAATTTAAGTTTCTTTCAATCATGGATTTTGAAAATATTTCGTTTTTATTTTTCAAAACATCGAATGCATGCACAAAATTGGCAGAAGTCGGGCACACTTGGACAAAATTTTAATCAGCTGGGAGCTCTACCTTACCTTTTTGTTGTACCATGGATCAAATGATCTGCCACGTGAGGCAGAACCCATTACGAAACAATTATTTAACAAGATTACTTAATTACAACAAACATATGGACAAACAGACAGCTGATTCTCGCAATGGATTTCAAATTCCAAAGTGTAATATTTTCATCTCTATTTCCAGTGAGGAATATTTGTTCTTGGAGGAATCATCTAAACGAAAATCTCACCCATGTATGTCTCCATGCGTATATTTTGAGAATCATCCCAAACACGATCTCGTTCTCGATCCGTGTAAAAGAGATACAACATGATACACGTAAGTGTGATACGTTACGTCTTCACTGTTTACTAAGAACAAGGTGGCACAGGTTTTTCATGATATGAAATACAGGGTGTTCTTTGAAGCACTTACGAAAGGACATTTAAATATTGAAGTCTAAAAGGGGAAGACTGCCAAGATTATTCAAAACGAATATGTGAGAATATATAAAACAGTTTTTTGACTGGCCTAAGTCATCGGCTCTGTAGTTTTACAATTTATAATTAGGGTTTTAAAGAATTTTTCTAAGCGTTTCTAATAATTTTTGTAATTGCAAATACACAAATCAGAGATGGGAACCTGTTTTCTATGCAGTTAAATTTGCCAAGGTTTATCACAGAAAATGCAGAGCTGGGATTTCTTATTTGAAATGGAGTTACTTTTATCTCATAAACTATATTCAATACTATGATTGGTCTGTTCCAGAACTGCAATAATGTAAACGTTTTGACAACGATAACCAATTTTCCCTTTATGATATCGGAAAAAAATTGCAAAACTAGTAGATTCTTGCAGGTTCTGGAACAGAGCAACTATATTCCATATATATATATATAAATTTATTCTACCTTCCACCATAGTGTGAAGAGTATATTAAGTTTGTCATTCCGTTTGTAACACCTCGAAGCATATATAAGTTAACGGCTCACCCTAATAAACATCAAACTAAATATGCAAACCAACTAGTAAACATTCCCATCATTATGCTGCGCAAGCAGTCCGACAAATCAACAGGAATATGACACCAGGGCAGTCATCCGCCACAAACACGCGCACTAATACCAGCGCACCGCAAGTGATGACTCAGCGTAATAACGAGCACGACCAGGCTGCAGTATAATATTAGTTTTAAGTTGAAGTAATTCATAATTGTAAATCCAACAAGAGAGGTGCATAGCACCGCAACATAAATGTTAGTAACAAAATAAAGAAACACCATAGCAGTGTGAAATAAACTTTAACTTCTAACATTAACTGGCGCCCAACAACTACAAGGATCAACACATCCTAGAACCCAACAACTACAAGGATCAACACATCCTAGAACCCAACAACCACAAGGATTAAAACATCCCAACAGCCGGTACGAGAACCGTTCCTGAGTAGGAGTACGAAAAGGATGTTACGTAAGAACTAGCGGACTACCGGGATATAAGGAAAATGATCAAATTATTATTAGTAAGTTATTATAAATTTAACAAAAGTAAAAAAGAAGAAATGTTAAAATAAAATTAAACAAAATAAGGAATAACACAGAAAGTGAAAGTGTGAAATCTAATTTACAAAAAATCATATTTGTGCTAGAATACGTTTAACAAAAATAACAAAGTAAGAAGAAAGAAATGTTAGAGTAAGGTAAAACAAAAAATGAAGTGTGACATCTAAATTTACAAAAAAATCATATTTGTGCGAAATTAACAAATGTAAGAAATATGAAATGTTAGATTAAGTTAAACAAAAAAATAGAGTGTGGCATCCAAATTTAAAGAGTCATATCCGTGCTGAAATAAGTTTAAAGAAATTTTGATAATAGATTTGTGACGAGAACTAGGATTTGGTGTTTCTTTTTCTCCTTTTTTTCGAGCGGCCAATGCCGGAAGATTTAGACAACTTAATAACAAGGGTCGAAGCTATGAGTGTTTCAGGACAGACATCTTCGCCTTCTGGGGCAGCTCCCGTAAGGTTTAATCCCTTTACGGAAAGTCAGACTAATGAGGTGAAACGAATAATAAGTGAGACGGTGGCAAACCTTCTCAAACAGGGGGAGGATGTTACCGCCACTAAAGATGTCGACATAGAAGGATCTGGGGATATCTCAGAAGGAGAGAGAATACCAGACATAGTGAAGACGTTAAGGGAATTCTCGGGCAAGCCAGGAGAATTTAGTTCGTGGAGGAAAGCTGTTGATAGGATCATGAACATTTATGAGTCACAAAGGGGAACAACCAAATACTTCACAATTCTACACACTGTTAGGCATAAAATTGTTGGTGAGGCCGACACGGCTTTGGAGTCTTATCGGACCCCATTAAATTGGAAAGCGATAAGAAAGTGTTTAGTGCTTCATTTTTCAGATAAGAGAGATATTTCGACCTTAGAGTATCAAATGACCGTCCTATCTCAGGGTGGGCAAACCATAACAGATTTTTACCAGAAGGTTTACCACCATTTGTCTTTGATTCTGGACAAGATTGATTGTCTGGATATAGGGAACGAGGCTTTGGATGTATTGACCCAAACATATAGGGACAAGGCTTTGGACACCTTTATTCGAGGACTTAATGGTAATCTTCCAAGCTTAATGAGTGTTACAAACCCGACAAGTTTGCCTCAGGCTCTAAATGCCTGTTTAAAATTAGGTAATCTAGGTGTGCGTATTCAACACGCTACCGAGAAAGGATCTAGACCAAACAGGATCCCCCAAACTAACCCTCCTAGACATTTTTACCCACAGCTGACGATTGGTGATAGGAATTTTCAAGGTGACCAAAGGTACAGAGGCCCTACTCAATATCGTTATCGGAATTTCCGAAGTGGAGAACAACAATACGGAGGGCCGGCGAACTTTTCGAATCGACCTCCAGTAGTGAATAATTTTGGACACCCCCAATACGGAGGATACAGACCCCCACTTCCTCCTAAACCTGCTGTACCAATGGACGTGGATCAATCAATACAGACTAGGCAGGTAAACTATCAGAATAGGCCACAGTTGAGTAATGCTTTTAACAATGTTCAGCCTAACTTTAAGAGAAATAATTCAGGAAATATTCATCAGCCGCAAAAGCAGCAGAGAATGTTTAATGTTGAGGCCCAAATACGTGAGGATGCAGAGCCGGATGAAATGAATGGTTCTGATGAACAGGAATATGAGGTTTCCTATGACGAAGCGTACGAGGAGGATCTAGACGATCAGTTGGCAATTGTAGATGACGTTAATTTTTTAGACTAGCTTCAACGTTGCCATACCTCCCTTTCAGAATGAAAAATGGCAACGAACTTAAATTTCTTATAGACACCGGTTCGAACAAAAATTATATTAATGGCAAATTTATTAGAAACCCTCTAAAGAACCAGAAACCTTTTCATGTTAAGTCCGTAGGCGGCATAGTTAGTATAGAGACCCATAGTTTTATTGACATTTTTAATTGCGGGA